TGGTATTAGTGGGTTATCAGCAGCTCACGCACCTCCAACTCCTGGTCAAGCAATTAAGTTCCAGAATTCACAGGAGGATGCTTTTGTGTAACGAGACCCCGAGGTATGCTTAAAATAAGACCCAATTTACCCATTTGGGCTGCCGATGCCTGGTGCTTCCTGGGCGGGTCGGGGTGGAGCCGGGCCGGCAGCCTGAGCTCCTGCGCCTGCCCTCCGGCTCCCCCTCCCCTCCGTGGGTGAAGTGGTAGCAGCACCTTCCTGGTAGGTGGCCGGGAGCTTGAACGAGGCGATGTACATGCTCTCTGCCAGCGCCTGGCGGGTAGCTGGTTCTGGGCCTGTTGGGTTGTCTCTCTCTCTTCTCTCATTTTTCAAAAATGGTCGGTCCCAGGTGCAGTGTGGCCTAGAAAGCAGTGCCAGAGCGTGGTGGTATTTTTGAAATCTCAATTGGGTATCTGCAGTTTAAACTGATTCTGTGTGCCTGGAAGTGGGTACAGGACAAGGAGGGGGGCCCTGGGCCCCAGCTTGCCCAGCCCAAGCCTGAATGCCACGGCCAGTTAGCGATTCCCTCTTTTCATCGTGAGAAGTTTCATTGCAGAGAACAATAGGGAGATGAACCCCGTGTGCCCATGCCTTGGTTTTCCTGAACACCATGCCATGTTCCCATCGTCTATTTTTTTAATGTGTTAGTTTTTAAATTTCAAATGAAGTCTAATTTACATTAAAAATATTCCAGCTCTTGAGTGTAAAGTTCAGGGAGTTCTGACAGTTGTGTGGCAACCTGCACTAGACCATTTTAAAGTAAATGTCTCTGCATCGTGACAATTAAGTCTATGTCGAAACATTTCAGCGTGCATTGCCTAAAAAATACCGTTTCTCTGTGCCTACCATAACACTGTGATTCGAACAGAATTAACAATTCCTAATAGCTTATACCGTGGAACATGTTCAAATGCTGGCCCAGGAGAGCCTCCAGGGACTTGAGGGCTCAAGCGGATTTGATGGAATAAAATATTCATACCGCTCCCCAGGCGGCCGGGTGAGAGCACACACGTGATTTGGTGACTTGGTCTCTGCTCCATTTTCCCCTCCAGAAAAACAAGAATAAGAAAAAGGCAAGATGAGAAGTGCGGCTCGGAGGTGACCACTCCGGAGAACAGCTCCTCCCCGGGGATGATGGACATGCATGGTGAGCGCCCGCGGTCTGTGGCCTCTCCCTCGGGTCCCTGGGCCTTGGCGATGCACTCGGTCGTGTTTATGTTTCTCAGCAGGTTTGTTCACATTCCAGGCAAGGGGTAGGAGAGCTGGGCAGGACCAGGAGGCCTCTTTGCCAAGGAGTAGCAGGGGAGGAAGTTTCTTTCTCCATTGCACCAAGCCAAATGTAAAATAAACCAGAAACATAAAAATAAGGCCCCTCCTCACCCAATGACAAAACCTCACCAGAGATGTTTCCTCTGTCCCATGTATGCCCAGGAAGATTTTTGGGGTATGTGTTTCTTTTTCCCTTATTATAAATTGCTATGTTTTCCATTTCCATTTTGCTTTGGCTGCTGGGAAGCTCCAAACTAGATTTCCGACTTCATGTTAATCACTAGGACCATGGAACTGCTCTTCCACATCACACCACAGCCTAACTTCCTTTGCTGTCTTATTCCCAAAGTTGTAACCCAGCCAAGTGCTGCGTCACACACCTGTAGTCCCGGCCACGTGGGGGCTGATGTAGGGGCATCACCTGAGCTCAGGAGGCCAAGGCCAAGGCGACAGTGCGCTGTGATCACTGCACTCCAGCCTGGGCCGCGTAGTGAGACGCTGTCTCTGAACAACAACAACAAAAAAACACCGAAAAAAATGGAAGTTGTAACCAGCGTCCCACCCGTCAGATCCGTGTCAGTGCTGTAGCTGTCTGCCATTGTTGCCCGTTGCTGGTGTTTGGTTCTCTTTTTGCCTTTTTATCTGGGAGGAGAGGCGCAAATCATAAGTGTGGGGCCCCATTAAATGTTCCTAAACCGCACCCACCCGTCTGACCTGCCCAGGTTGGAACACAGAGTGTTCCCAGCCTGTCCCTGTGGTCCTCCCGAAGGCCTCCTGGTCCCCTGTCCCTGCCCTTCCAGGGAAAACTGCCTCAAAGACTCAAACATGAAGTTTTTTAAAAAATCGAGTGAACTTCCGATATTTACGAATAAGGAAATCTGCGTTACTGCCGTCCTCTGAGAAATCCAGTCTGGCTCCCCAGAGCGGGTGCTCCCTCGAGGCAGGGGCTGTGTGAAGCCCGAGCAGTGTCCCCTAAGCGGGGGGAGGTGTGTGGCCTTCCAGGGCCACCTGGCTCCACCACCTCATTTTGTCACCTGCCTGGCCCACTGGGACAGGAGCTTGCAACCCCTGCCTTTTTCCATCTCTCCATCCTAATTCCAAGGTCTTTGTACTTGTGACCACCCCGCGCCTTCCGTGCAATGAGGCAGAATCAGATGAGTAACGAGATAAGGAAATCAGAAAGGAATGTTGGTTTGCTGGAGTTCCCCTGCGGGGGCTTGGCTGCTGGTTGACGTGTCAAGAGAGCCCCCCAGCTGGCCGTAGGATCATAGCTGGGATGTGTTTGATTTTTGGAAATAGATATTTGAGCTGGGATGTGACTGGTCTCCCTGCACTGCTTAGCTCCCCTTCCCCTGTGGGGATCGAGGGGATCCCAGGCCCAGCTCTGGATTTTGGTTGGATCATAGTCATGGAATTATAGGTGAAGAGAGATCACCATCCCCCCAAGGTTCAAGTCCTAACTCTCCCAGGACCTCCCCTGGCCGTGTGCTCTTGGGCTAGCTACTTAGCCACTAGCCTTCAGGTTTGCTCAGTTTTATCTGTAGAACGAGGCTGGTCGTGCCGACCGTGTAAAGTCAAGATGATCCTTTAAAAGGATCACGTTAATGAGACTGTCTCGCAGTCCTTCAAAGGCGGAGTGCATGTTTATGCCTGGACACATGCTCCAGAAAAATCTAGGATGCCTGACAAACCAGGTCCCTGGACTCGGGAGCCCTGTTTACCTTCTTGGTATCATTTCCATTTTCGTACATGTGCGGCCGAAACTACGCCAGGCTGCGGGGTGTGGAGACGCGCAGGCAGGGAAAGAGTTTTCTGGAAGGCTTCAGGTGGGAGGATGGGCTCAGAGGAGGTGACGGGAGAGGGTGCACACATTTGGCCCGTTAGTCTACAAGACTCAGCTGGTGTCAGCCCAAGTGTCAGAGTCACCCTGTTACCAGGTCACCAGGCTAGCCTCAGACAGCTAACTCCTTAGGCATTAGTGCTTACTGTCATTAATTAACACAACTGAGCCTGAGCCTGGGGGTCGAGCTGCTTGCACACATACCTTGGCATGGAAAAGAAGTTTGGATTTTCTTGAAGGATAAATCAGGAGAGCGCACATCCTTTTCTCTTTTTCCCTTAAGTTCCAGAATTCACAGGAGGATGCTTTTATGTAATGAGCACCCCAGAGTATGCTTAAAATAAGACCCAATTTACCCATTTGGGGCTGCCCGACTGCCTGGTGCTTCCTGGGCGGGTCGGGGTGGGAGCCGGGCCGGGCAGCCTGAGCTCGCGGCGGCTCTGCTGCTCTGCCCCAAGGCTCCCCCCTCCCCCTCCGGCTCCCCCCTACCCCTCCGTGGAGTGAAGGTGGTAGCAGCACCTTCCTGGTAGGTGGCCGGGAGGCTTGAACGAGGCGATTGTACATGCTCCTGCCTAGCGCCTGGCGGGTAGCTGGTTCTGGGCCTGTTGGGTTGTCTCTCTCTCTCTCTCATTTTGCAAAAATGGCTCGGTCCCAGGTGCAGTGTGGCCTAGAAAGGCAGTGCCAGAGCGTGGTGGTATTTTTGAAATCTCCACTTGGGTATCTGCAGTTTAAACTGATTCTGTGTGCCCTGGAAGTGGGTACAGGACAAGGAGGGGGCCCCCAGGCCCCCCAGCTCTGCCCCAGCCCAAGCCTGAATGCCACCGGCCAGTTAGCGATTCCCTCTTTTCATCGTGAGAAGTTTCATTGCAGAGAACAATAGGGAGATGAACCCCGTGTGCCCCATGCCTTGGTTTTCGTGAACACGATGCCATGTTCCCATCGTCTATTTTTTTAATGTGTTAGGTTTTTCAAATTGAAGTCTAATTTACATTAAAAATATTCACAGCTCTTGAGTGTAAAGTTCAGGGAGTTCTGACAGTTGTGTGCAACCTGCACTAGACCATTTTAAAGTAAATGTCTCTGCATCGTGACATTTAAGTCTATGTCGAAACATTTCAGCGTGCATTGCTAAAAAATACCGTTTCTCTGTGCCCACCATACCACTGTGACTTCGAACAGAATTAACAATTCCTTAATAGCTTTTAAAATCCAGACCGTATTCAAATCCCCCAGTTTGTTCCAAAATGTTACAGCTGGCACGTTCCAAACAGGATCCAGATCATTTCCATGCATCATGTGTAGTCGTCGGGCCTCCTAGCTTTCTTTCACTCTACGGTAACCTTCCCTGTTTCTTCCCCCTCCTTTTTTCTTTTTTTTTTTTTTCTTTCAATAAAAATGATAATAACTTGGAGAGATCAGACCAAGTGTCCTTTAGAACGTCCCACCCTCTGCCGTTGTCTTGTTCTGTCCCTTTTGTTTCGTGCCGAGTGGAAGTTGGCCTGGAGGCTCGGTGGAGTGGGAAGAGACGGTTGGCGGTGCTGCTCGCGACCACGCCGCGCTGTCCTGCGGCTGCACAGCCAGATGCACAGGGCGTCTGCTTCCCCACCCAGATGTCCCTAGAGAGTTTAAATGTGTTAGGCCACCGTCTCTAGCCGGCTGCCTCCAAACACGGGCTCCTTCTCCGTGAGCGAGTGGGGGAAGGCCCCGGGGGCGTGGGCCGCTCCGGAGGAGGGAGTATCCAGAGCTTTTCCTGGGAGAGTCCCTGGCACAGGGACGCCGAGCCTCCCGACCCGCCTGTCCTCGGCAGCGGTGGGACCTCAGCCTCTGCTTCTGCCCTCCCCTCCCCCCGCAGACGACAACAGCAACCAAAGCTCCATAGCCGACGCCTCCCCCATCAAGCAGGAGAACAGCAGCAACTCGAGCCCTGCTCCGGAGCCCGCCGCAGCTGTGCCGGGCGATGGCACCGAAGCCAAGGCGGACGAGGCCCAGGCCGACGGGAAGGGGCACCCCGGGGCCGAAGGTACGTGCCCTCCGGGGCTGGGCTCCCAGGGGCCTCCACCGGCCTTCAGCATTCGGGGGACAGGTGTTTAAGGAGGCCCTGCCATGAAAGGTAACCCTGGAGCGCATGGCCTCATGGGGCGATTAACAACTCAGACAGTCTATTCTTTGGAAGCCAAGGTGGTGGTGAATTAGACAGTGGGAAGGGCGAATGGGGAGTGTTCCCAAATGACAGGGGGTGTTGCAGTTTTAGGGTGGTCAGGGAAGGCCTCACTGAGGAGCTGGCATCGGCACAGATGAGGCTCAACTAGGCAAGGAGTAAGCCAGTATGTATCTGGAGAAGAGTGCTGTGGGCCGTGCAAAGGCCCTGTGGCAAGCGTGTGTGCTCGGCGTGGCTGGAGAAGTGTGCATGAGAGACTGGAAAATACCGTGGGGTCAGAGAGGAAGCAGGGCCTCTGGCGTTGGAGGGCTCCTAAGGCTACTGCCCGACCCACATTTTTATGACGAGTGAGATGGGAACCGTTGGGGTTTGGGTGACATGATCTGAAGGATGAGGACCGATGATGAGGGGACCAGGGAGGAGGCAAGAAGCCCAGTGAGGGGCTGCTGCACTTGTCCAGGTGGGAGAGGATGGTGGTCAGACCAGGGAGACAGACGGGGTGGTAAGGAGTGGTCTGATGGGGGGTGGTATTTGTGTATACAAATGTACTGTGGGTGTTTTGTTTTTATTTATTTTGAATTCCTACAGAAAAATTGAAAGAATAGCACAACACTCTCTTGTATGTCTACCAGCTGAACTAGGCAATTGTTGGTTTTGGGGTGTTTTTTTTTTTTTTCACTTTGTCTATAAACATTTTTTTGGTGACCATTTGAAAATAAGTTATACCCCTGAGGGCGTTTCCACCTTAAACACTTAAGCATGTGTTTTTTAAAAATAAGGACATTCTGGCTGGGCATGGCGATTCATACCTGCAATCCCAGCACTTGGGGAGGCCAAGGCAGGAGAATCGCTTGAAGCCAGGAGCTTAAGACCAGCCTGGCCAACGCAGTGAGACCCTGTCTCTACAACACATTAAAAATAAATAGATAGATAGGGCTGATTTCCGACTTCTTTTGAAAAATCAGATTTGGCAGTACTAGGCCTGCTTTTCCCTGAGGCAGCAACCAGTGACAGCAGAGAAGTGGCTTTCCTCCAGGGGGGCGGGATGGGCTCTAGTCACCGGTTACCACACTCCCCACCACTCCCTCTTGTCTCTCCAGCATCAGAGCCAAAGGGCAGTTGCCATGTTTGTTTTTTGTTTTTTTTTGGGTTTTTTTTGAGACAGGGTCTCAGTCTGTTTCCCAGGGTAGAGTGCAGTGGTATCGTCATAGCTCACTGCAGCCTCCAACTCTTAGGCTTAAGTGATCCTCCTGCCTCAGCCTCCTGAGTAGTTGCGACTACAGGCACTCGCCACCACATCTGCCTAATTTTTTCTATTTTTAGTAGAGACGGGGTCTCGCTCTTGTTCAGCCTGGTCTCAAACTCCTGACTTCAAGCGATCCTCCTGCCTCGGCCTCCCAGAGTGCTGGGATTGCAGGCGTGACCCACCACGCCAGGCCCAGTTGCCATGTATTCCCCCAGGATCACTGTTTTTCCTATTGTAGATTTAAAAGGAAAATTAAGATATTTCTTTTTATTTTTCTTTTTTGAGACAGAGCCTTGCTCTGTTGGCAGGGCTAGAGTGCAGTGGTATTAGTGGGGTTATCACAGCTCACTGCAACCTCCAACTCCTGGGCTCAAGCAATCCTCCTGCCTCAGCCTCCTCAGTAGCTGGGACTACAGGTGCGCACCACCATGCCTGGCTGATTTTTCTGTTTTGTTTTTTTTTTGTAGAGACAGGGTCTCTACAGATAACAGGACACAGATAAGGCAAGTGTCCTCCTTCCCGTCCTTGGTTGGGGGACCACTGCCAAGGCTATTCTGTGGACACTTGGCCTGGAGCCTGGTGCGTGGGAAGGGTCTGGGAGCCAGGGGAGCGATTCTGGGGGTGCTGGGGTTTGGTACGGGCTGCGTCTGCAGCCTCGTTCTGGCTTCTTTCCCATCCCGGTTTCTGTCTGGCCGGGCCGTGTTTCTCCCATGTTCAGGGTCTGCGTGTCCTTTGCTGTAGAGGGCCGGTTAAAACCCAGCTGCAGGAATTGTATTTTAGGCTCATGCTCTCATAACGGCCACATCGCGCTAGCTACTACCCACCCCCTCCTTGCCGCCACCGAAAGCTGAAGTGTTGGCACGCAGGTGGGCCACCCCAGAGCCCTGGGCCCACACGGCTGCCCAGGGGCTGCCCAGGCAGGACCCACCTGCCCATCGCCAGGGGTCGCCGAGCTCCCTGCGGGGAGGGCACAAGGACGAGCCACATGGCTTTCCCAGGTGGGTGCGCACTGCCTGCTAGGACGGGACAGGTCGGCCACCAGCTGTTGACCTTGCGTTGAACTTGTTTACTGCTGAGTGAGTTCAGGGAACGACATAATGTCCAAGCTCCCTGGACTAAATTTAGTCCCCAGGAAAGTAATTTCCCCTGGGTGAATTCCAGCGCCGCTGCACTCAGAGCCGGCTGCTGCCCGAGCCCTTGAGCGGTTCCCGCTGAGCAATCGGCCTGGCTCGCAGGGGAGGCCAATGCCGGGGCGTCTCCGCCGGGCGAGGGCCAGCGTGAGTCTCCGGTGATCGGCCACCTTCAGGATTCCTAAGCCTACGTCTGGGGCGCCCACCTCCGGCCCCACGCCTGAGAGCCGGCTGTGCCCAGCAGAAAAGGAGCTATGGCCGGGCGCGGTGGCTCACGCCTGTAATCCCAGCTCTCTGGGAGGCCGAAGCGGCGGATGCTCGAGTCAGGAGTTCGAAACCAGCCTGAGCAAGAGTGAGACCCCGTCTCTACTATAAAAAATAGAAAGAAATTAATTGGCCAAGTAAATATATACAAAAAAAATTAGCCGGGCATGGTGGCGAATGCCTATAGTCCCAGCTACTTGGGAGGCTGAGGCAGGAGGAGTGCTTGAGCCAGGAGTTTGAGGTTGCTGTGAGCTAGGCTGACGCCATGGCACTCACTCTAGCCTGGGCAACAAAGCGAGACTCTGTCTCAAAAAAAAGAAAAAAGAAAAGAAAAGAGCTATGGTCAAACGTAATGCCAAAGATGTGGCAAATTTTTAGGTCAGTGAAATTTTAAATGTTTAAGTTAAAACAAATATATGTGTTATGAAATAGACTATAACAACAACATGGATTTTTTTTTACTTCCTTGTTGAGATGAAATTCACATAAAATCAACAACTTTTATGTGAAGAACAATTTGCTGGCCTTTAGTACACTCAAGAGGTTGTGCAACCACCATCTCTGTCTAGTTCCAGAATATTCCCATCACCCCAAAGAGAAACCGTGCCCCCACTAGCAGTCACTCCCATTTTCCTTCCTGCATTCCCTGGTGACACATAATCTACTTTCTGCCTCTGTGGATTTGCCCGTTCTGGATGTTTTATGGCACAGAATCCTACGACATGTGGCCTTTTGTGACTGTTCTTTTCGCTCTGCGTCATGGCTTCAAGGTCCGTCCATGGCGTGGCATGGCGTGGCGTGGTGTGTGTCAGTGGCTCATTCTTCTCTCTGGCTGAATCATGTTCCTGTGCATGTGTGTCTACTTGTCTGTCCCCTCACATTTGGGCTGTCAAGAATAGCGCTGCCGGGAACATTGGTGTACAAATAGCAGTTCGAGTCCCAGTTTTCAGTTTTTGGGTACACACCTACGAGGGGAATTGGTCCTAGGATAACCCCTGTGTGGGGTCAGTTCTCCTGGTCTGACGACCGCTCACGGCCCCTCACGCTTGCTCAGCCCCGGAGGGGGCCCCCGAGTCCTCTGCCCCAGCCTGTCTCAGCCCTGCCCCTTGACCTCATGTTGCTTGGTTGATTTTTTTCCTGCCCTTTGTTATTTCTCTGCCTCAGAAGCCCCAGAAAGTAAGCCTCGGTTGCTCGGGCATTCTTCAGGATTAGCCGAGTGTGCTTTTCAAGAATCAGGGTGACAGTGTTGGGGCCCTGGTGGGATTTTGCTGCTCTTTTTACGAGTCTGTGGCTCTGTGCCCGGTGAGCTCTAGGTAGACCCGCTGCCACCCCCTCCTCCGCCTCCAGCCCGTCCCCTCCTTCAGCTGGAGAAACCTGGGGTGAAGCAGCAGGGAGACCGAGGCCTGAGAATCGCCCGGATGCCTGGATCCGTCAGAGCCACCGATGGCTCGGGGGCTGCGGTGCCGCCGTCCTGTGAGCTCTGGTACTTAGAGAATTGTTAAAGACGTGAAAAATTCTCCCCAAACGCTGCTCGTGCCTATTTGGGGAGGGGGGAGATTATGTGCATGTAGGAGGAAAAACCTGGAAAGATGGGAAATAAAATCTCTAAAACATTAGGAGGAGGGTCTCTGCGTATAGTGTGAGTGATGGGTGACTTTAAATTTATTTTTTTCTGTAACTTCTCTTTCCTGCGATGATCAGTCATTGCTCTGACAATCAGAAGAATACCCATATCATTAAGGGAAATGTTTACAAAGGGCCAGGTCCCTCTGATGTTCCCCAGGAGGAGAAGGCAAGCTCTGGAAGGAGCGAGGACGGAGGACGGAGGACGAGGACGAGGACGGAGCCACCTTGGCGGTGGGAGGGAGGGATGTTCAGCCATGATTGTTGGATGCACTGGGGCCACCAGGGGGCGCCGCGTGCACGCAGCTCGCGCCGGCAGCATCCTGCAAGGCTGGGGCACGTGGCAGCTAATCAGGGTGCCCGAGAGGGCTGGGGACCTCAGGGCAAGCGTGTGGCCTGGCTGCTTAGAACAGTGTCACTAAGAAACAAACGAGAGGCTTCTCCCAGCCCCCCCACACCCACAGGCAGCCTGCTGCAGCCCCCCAAGACCCCCGACCACAAAGCGCCCAGCTGCGGTATTTTTAGAATCTGGCCCATCTGGCTCCCCGTTCCACGTGCCTGAAAACAGCTTCTGTCGCCTTGCTGTTCCGCAGAAGCTTCTGACGAGCAGAATTCACAGTCTTCGATGGAACACTCGATGAACAGTTCAGAGAAAGTGGAACGGCAGCCATCTGGGGACTCGGGGCTGGCCGCGGAGACGTCAGCAATCTCTCAGGTACGCCCATCCAGGTCTCCGAGGGGCGGCTGGGGCGGCTGGGGCCTGTTGGGTTGTCGGGGGTACGTTGAAAGGTGTTTTGTCGTTTTGTTGCTGGATACGTGGAACTGTCATTTATCTGTGAGCCTCGTCCCGTATCTGCCCTGGGCGCCACAGGGATGGATGAAATGCAGGGTCCCTGTCCTCAGTACGGGAGGAGGGAGGGTCCTTTATCCCACCCTCAGCTTCATCGTTTTGTCCACTCGGGTTCACAGAAGCGTCGCCTCGTCTCAGCGACCCAAAGTCAACATCCTCCAGGCCCGGGAAGGCAAGTGGCTCACCCTTTGGAATGTCGCAGCTGCCCCCGTGCTCCTGGCTGGGCCCCGTTCTGGGTTGTAACTGTGTGTCCGAGTCTGGTCTGGATTAGTCAGTGCACACGGTGTGCCCTGTGGTCAGGACCAACCTCCCAGAGCCAAGCCCTGGTTTGAATCCCAGCAGTGTCCCTTAGTAGCGGGGCAGTTCACTTCTCTGAGCCTCAGTCTTTCCAGCTGCTGAATGGGCTCACAGAACTGTCTTAACGCCCTGGTAAGGACTGGATGAGAGAACGTGGCCTAGCGTGGAGCCAGACACAGAAGACGCCACCACTATTACCGTAAATCCTGCAGACTCACCATAAGAGGAGTGGGACTCAGAGTCTCGAAACTTCAACTCTGCTGAGTGTCTTCTGGTGTCTCCAGGGGAACAAACGAGGTCACAGCAGAAAGAAGGGAGGCAGCAAGACGCTGCAGTTCTCGTTGCAGAGCCTGAAAACAGGCCCTCCCTGGAGGTGTCCTTCAGGCTTTAAAATCTTCAGACCCTGAGGGGCTCCCCACGAGCACCGCAGCACAAGAGGGCATTGACTGAAGGTGCGTCTGCCGGCAGGAAGTAGCCACAGCCTCTGCTCCAGAGGGGGCTGGTCACGTAAACCTGAGGTCTCGTGTCAAACAGACAAGCGTGGCATCGCTCAGGAGAGCATGGCTGGACCTTGCAGGTACCGATAAACATTCTTGCAGCATGAAGTGAGAAAGCAAGTTGCATAACTGCAGGCGGAGCATGAGCCCATTTGGTTAAAAACAATACAAATTCAATTGCGGCGTGGTGCTCCACGGCTGCTAATCCTCAGCACTCTGGGGAGGCCGAGGGGGCAGGTGGCTTTGAGCTCAGAGTTCCAGACCAGCCTGAGCAAGAGCAAGACCCCGCCGTCTCTACTATAAGAATAGAAATTAATTGGGCAACTCAAGATATATAGAGAAAAAAATTAGCCGGGCATGGTGGGCCGGATGCCTGTAGTTCCCAGGCTTACTCGGGAGGCTGAGGCCACAGCGGATCACTTGAGCCCCGGGGTTTGAGGTTGCTGTGAGCTTAGGCTGACGCCACGGCACTCACTCTAGCCTGGGCAATAAAGTGAGACTCTGTCTCAAAAAAAATTTAAAAACAATACAAATTCAAACCTGGTATATAGTAAATAAGCATGAGATGTCCGATTTTCTTAAGTACTAAGTTTGACCGTTGAGATCTCTGACATTTCACTTTGACACTTCCTGTTTTACGTTTACCGTAAAGGTACAGCCTTCAGTCTTGCAAAGGCACATTTTGGCTTGTGATTTATCTTTCAGATTTTTTTTTTTAGAGTAATTTTTGTGAAACCATGGATAAGTGAAAAATTTGTTTTATTTTCGAATATGCGTTCCGTCAGGGAACCAGTGCTGCACAGACAGCTCGAAATAATCAACGAAGTGTCTGGGAAGAATGTGGCTAAGGAACGCACAGTGCGTCGACGGCTTGAGAAGTTCCGTTCTGGTGATTTTAATCTGGAAAATGAGCCACCTGGCGACCTGAGACCACCGGTGGATAACGATGAGCTGAGAGCTGTGGTGGGAGCGAATCCATCTCAACCCACGCATGAATTAACAGCAAGGTTTGACGTTACTATTCTACACTGTATTGTTATTTGTGATGAAAAATGGATTCTTTTTGACAATCGCAAGCATTCGGCACAATGGATGGATAAAGATGAAATGCTGAAACACAGTCCAAAACCTAAAACTCATCAAAAAAAGCTAATGGCATCTGTTTGGTGGTCCAGTGCTGGTATTATCCACTACAGCTTCGTGAAACCTGGACATTCGATTACAGCAGATGTCTGCTGCAGCCGGTTGGATGAAATGATGAGGATGCTTGCAGGGAAGCAGCCGAGATTGGTCGATAGAGACAGGCCAGTCCTCTTGCAAGACAGTGCTCAGCCCCACGCCACACAGACGGCACGGCCCAAACTACCGAGGCTGGACTTGGAATCTCTCTGTCATCCTCCGTATTCACCAGACCTTGCACCAACTGACTACCACTCCTTCCAGGCTTTGGACCACTTCTTGCAGCGAAAAATATTCAATTCTCAACAAGCTGTGGAAAACGCCCTTCGCAGTTTCGTCGCCACTCGTTCTGCAGGCTCCTTCACTGCTGGCATAAACCAGCTGCCACTAAGACGGCAAAACTGTGTCGACAGTTTAGGTGCATACTTTGGTTTATTGTACTGCTTCTTGTTTGAGATATAATAAAAACTACGCTTTTGATTAGAGATGGGACATTTCCTGTTTAATGGCCTGACCAGAACCAAAGTTGTCGGCTGGGGTCTTCCCCGCTGGAGCTCAGTAGGAGAAGGTCAGCTGACACTTTGACCGCCAGCTGGGAGAGTGGCCAGGCGCCCTCCCCTGTGTCTGCAAAGGCAGTGGTTCCTGTTCCCATGTCCCCTATGTCCGCTCCTGCTCCAGACGACCCAGACCTCTTCGGCCGTTTGCCTGCTCGCGGCAGACACACACCCTGCCTACAGGTCAGGCGGGGAGCAAGGTGGCGCGGGGGAGGGGGGCCATGCAGTCCGGCAAAGCAAAGCCCTGACGTTTAAGAACACACATGTTCGCCGGGCGTTGTGGCTCACGGCTGTATCCTAGCACTCTGGAGGCGAGCGGGGGCGTATGCTCGAGGCGTATGAGTTCGAACCAGCCTGAGCAAGAGGCGGAGACCCCATCTCTACTTAAATGAAACAAATTAATTGTCCAACTAATATATATAGAAAAAATTAGCCGGCATGGTGGTGCATGCCTGTGTCCCAGCTACTTGGGAGGGTGAGGCAGGAGGATCGCTTGAGCCCAGGAGTTTGAGGTTGCTTGTGAGCTAGGCTGACTGATGCCACGGCACTCACTCTAGCCTGGGCAACAAAGTGAGACTCTGTCTCAAAAAAAAAGAACACACATGTTCTCCATGCTGCCCACGCCCAGCAGCAGGAGGATGCCTCTGCTCCTCCTCGTGCTCGGTCCATCTTGCACTTTCTCTCTCTCCTTCCCGTCCTCCCATCTCCCTCCCTGCTGGGGCGGCCCTGAGGAGGCAGATATCTCCCTCTCTCTGCCGCGCTTCACTCCCAAGCTCACCCACGGCCACCCCTTGGCCAGGAGCTCCGCAGAACAAAAGGCCCTTCACCTTCGTGTGCTCCACCTTCCCTGGAAGGTGCCGCGGCCCGCTTTCTCCCGTTACGTCTGTGTCCTGCTCCTGTCCCTTTTTAAACAAGGCAAAAGGGGAGAGAGGGAAGAAAGGCCTTCCTGACTCCCAATGGTTCCTGCTCCCAGGGTCCCCCAGGAGCTCCTGTCGCCTTCTCTGCAAGTGTCACGCCATGTCCTACCTCCAGGCCTGGGGGCCTCTGTTAACATATAGCGCTGAGCACCTACCTCAGACCCAGTGCTGCACGGTCCCGCCCTGCCCTCCTGGGGCTAGCAGGGGGCAGGGGGCCTGGGGCAGGGCTGGGATACAGCAGACACAAACGGGTCACAGAGTCACACCAAGTGCTGTAAGAGGATGGGACAAGGTTACTGAAGAAACAACAAGCTATGTTGGCTCAGGTGTGGGCGGGGTGCTGGGCAGTGCAGAGAGGTGGGTGGGACTTGCTAACAGGTGGGGGGTGCAGGCGGGGAGGGGGCTGCTGGGTGCCATCCGGGCTTTCTTCAGGGCTTTCTCCCAGGCTGATGGGTGGCTGTAGTCGGGACTGGGTCTCAGGTTAGGTTGGAGATGCCCGGGATGACTGGGCGATGGGTGAATGAGTGAGTGTTGAACCATTTTGGGGGTCATGGGACTTTGTGGGAATTCGGTGACAGGTATAGACCCTTCTCCCAAGAGCAACATGCATACTTACATTCAGCAAGGGCTGAGAGTGTGCCCTAGTTAGACTGTGACGTGGCAAAGTGAGTCTGGGCCTTCGAGAGATGGCCTTGGAACTTGGAGAGGCGAACTTGAAACTTGTGCACAAATAATGACCCTAGCGATTCATCGCGGACAGAAAGGTTGACGACAGTCTGGGCGAGTGAAGGGAGCATGGCAGTCCTGGGTGAGGACATGGTTCACATGTGGCAGGGCCGGGCGGGGGCAGGAGGAGTCCGAGTGTGACGGTCTCCCTAGGTCTGGGAACCTCCTGAAGCCTGCGCGTGGGCCTTGGTCTGACCGCCCAGGCCGACCTTCGCCCGTCCAGCCCAGTCGCCCCCCCTGGCGTATTAACCGGGTCTCTCTTTTCTTCCTTCTTCCCCCAAGGATTTGGAAGGTGTGCCGCCCTCTAAAAAGATGAAACTGGAGGCCTCTCAACAAAACTCCGAAGAGATGTAGACAATAAGCAAAACCCTCCGGTCCATGTTTCATGGAAGGTACATCAGCAATTAATTCTAGAACAACTTTGCCCGAGCGACTCCTCTTGGGTGCGAACAGAACTACTAACGTTTCAAGTTTACCAAGTGCAAATCCAAGAAAACCTAGAACGGCGTAACTTCTCAGACACTGAAGAACTCTGCTGTGAGGCGAAACACTCGAACCTTTAAGCGGCTGTCCTTGGGGAGGCGGGCCGGCAGCCGGGAGCGTCTGCACACTGTCTCGGAAGCCGAGGTTGCGTTTGTGTTGCTGCTGTGTTTTTTTTCCACTTCTCTATTTAACGATATAAGCTATTTGAGGGTGGTACCGATCAGGAATTCGCTTTTCGTCGGGGCTTTTCACACTGTTCAACCGATTCCTTCTGCTTTCTGTTTTTGTGCCTTGTGCCCTTGAGGTGACCTCTGGCATGTTTCCTGGTTGTTTTGCATCTTCCTTTGCAAAGTGCCGTCTTGGTTCGTTGGGGCGGCAGCTGCCACCGCGCTCACCTCTCTCCTCCGTGCCCCAGGACTTTATCAGGGCAGGCCGGGCGGGGCAGGGGGCTCCTCGGCGCCCACCTGGTTTGCAGGTGCAGGGAGCTCCGGCCCCTCTTGAGCCCTGGGTGGGGTCCACACCGGCCTCCAGGGCCCGAGGAGTTGCAGATGTGGGGCATGGTCCCCAATGGCTGGCCTCCTCGGTCCAGACTGGGCACTCCATATGCCCTCGCTTCCTGGGGGCCTCTGAGGCTGGGTGTTCGCGAGCCTACAGCGGCCCCGATGGACATGCAAAGCCCTTAGATTTTTCTGGCACTTCCACTCTATTGCCCCCACCCCCACCCCCGGTTTGTTCCAGACCTCCGAGGATGAAACGGCTTCTCTGGCTGCTGCGAGGCTCGTCTCCTAAGACGCTAATGGCCGGGGAGGCTGAGCGCAGGCGGCAGGAGTAGCTGGTGCTGAACTTTCTCTCCTAGGACGTTGCTTGGATTTGAAATCCACAGTCACCCGCTTCCCTCCGCCTCCTCTGCGCCCCGGTCGTGCCCCGAGAGGCAGGATTGCGGCCAATCACAGTCCACTCGCTTCTGCGTGACGTTCTGACAGTCCGGTCGTGTCTCCTTCCCGGAACGTGCTATGTATGTGGGTCCCCACGGGGGAGCAGGCCTTGATGGTTGGGCCTCCAAGGCCAGAAACAAGGCACCCGGGAGTTAGAAAGATTTGTACACCCTTCCGAAAGGAGAGACGGGCTCACCCTCCGTCCCCGCCTGCGCTGGGACCACGTCCTCTCACTCAGCCCTGATGCCCCCTTGGACGAGCTGCCTGGTCGTTCGGTTCTGAGGCCTGGTTTGCTCCTAACGTACGGACTCCTCAGACCTTAAACCCTTTCCTGAGCTTTCTTTACTGCACTGGAGTTCTAACTCCCTTTGAGTTGTGTGTTGGGGGGTGGGGGGATCGTGGGTTTTGTTGTGTTTTTTTGTTTGTTTTTTTCTTTTTTTTTTGGCTAATTGGTGCATATTCAGGTACCACCTTTGACGTGTGGATCTTTCTCCTGACCACCATGGAAAGCGCCTGCCAGATTCCATTTTCTAAGGGTTTCTGAGGGTGAGGCTCTTACTTTTTTTTTTTTTAAAGGGAGCCTGTCTACTTCCTGCACTTCAAGAAGAATCAAAATGTTCCTGAATTTCAAATACCTCATGCAAAATGTCTCCTGAAATAAGGGAAAAAAAAAAAAAAAGAAACTTTGCAAAATCTTAATGTTGAAGTTAGCAATGCCGAAAGGTTTCTGTCTTAAAAAAAAAAAAAAAAAATCCTCGTACTTACCAATTTTGCCCCTCAGGCAGGCAGTTCTGTCGAGAACTGGGTTCCGCGGCGGCGCAGAAGCAGCCAGATGCGTCCCTCCCGGCGCCCCCGCGCTTCACCTCCAGGCCCTGTAGAGTTAGAGTCGCGTTTTTCTTTGCATCGAAACTCCATTTTGACGGAAGATGAATTTGGATACTTACGTGCTTTTCTTTTTTGGGAAACGAGAGGTTACAACCAAGACAGCTGAAGGAGAACGAGACACACGCAGCCACGGACACGGAGGGCGAGGGGAGTTGGCGCGGTTGAGGATGAAGGTGACGAAGACGTCCACGGTACCGAGGCTGTCACTAGTTTTTCTCTGAAGTGCCTGAAGGTAGGAATGGGCCAGAGGCTGGGACCCACCGGGCCCGGCCGCGGCCACGCCAGGCAGAGCGCCAGCAGCCCCGCACTCCACGCTGGCCGCGAGGGCCTTCCACGCGGGCGACGAGACTGCGAAATCCCATGTGCTTCCTTCCCGGCGCGGTCCGCTCCCCGGAGCCGCTGCCCCCAGCCCGCACCCTCGCCTCCCCCACCACTGAATCCAAGACCTTTCGGCCGCCAGCCGGGGTGGGGGTCCTAGGCGAAGGCCTTCCGCGGACATCGGCCCGTGGCCTAAAGGGCTCCCAGGGCAAACTTGATTCCCCCAAAACTTGAAGTCGTGGAAGCTGCGGCTACACATTCCACAAAGTGCTGGCACTTACACCCACAACCCGGAAGGCTGCTGACCGATTCATGTAGGGTGGTGACCTCCCATTATCAAACGGTGTCATGGTTTGGAATGTTCATTATCGCCGAGGACCTGGTTAGAGGCATAAAGACCTTTTTTCACCGTTACCTAATGTTTTTTTTTTCCTTCTTATGATCTTTTTTTTTTTTTTTGGTGTGTTGTACAGCAGTATAATTTTTCACTTATTTATTCCATCAGTAGATATGGTTTGTACAATGTACAATGGTTCCATTTCAGAAAATAAAAAAAAAGTTCAAATCATGAGTATACTGTGGTTTTTGTCACCTTATGAGAAAGAGGAAGGTCAGATTGAGGGTGGGAATGCCCCGCTCTGGCCCCCCGCACGGCTGTGTGGCGCTGCCCACACGGGACGTGGTGAGCTCCTGCACACGGCGACGGCTGCTTTCCACAGTCGTGAAGGCTGGCATTGCTAAGCACCAGCGGGGTACCACGCAGGCCACTAGACACTCCTTTCTGTGAGCAGGTGTTGGTGAGGAAACTGCAGCGCTGTCCTGGTTTAAAAGCTACACCTAATCCCCTCCCTGCCCCCAGGCCTGGGATCCAGCAAGGGTACCAGTTTGTGGCTTCCTTTGACACTGGGGGCCTCTGGCCTGTGGCCCGTAAGGACTCTGGAGGGTTTGCGCATGACTGGATTGCAACCTCGTCTTGACCTCTCTTAACTTGGCCTCTAGTGACATGGTCAGGCTGGAACCAGAACCGCCCGGGCCTTTCCCTCAGCTGATTCCCCTCCTGCATCTGGCTCCCCCAGCCCTGGGCCAGAGCCCAAGGGAGCGGGGCGGAGCCCCCTCGCTGCCGACCTGCAGGCGAGTGTGCTCTCGCTCTGTGCTGTCTGGCTCCGCCCCGCCCCGCTCCTTTTAAAACATGTTCCAGTGTTTTTACCAGAATTGGTTGCTCAGCTAAATAAACTCCAGATATGGAAGTTCAGCTTGACAAAACACAAATCATCGGCGCCTTGTTGGCTTAACAGAAAAAGCGCCTTGGCTGGCACCCGTCTGACTCTCCCGTGCCGTCCTGCCCGGTGTCCGCGCCGCGCTGTCCCTCCTTCGTCCCTCTGAGGCTCTCGTCTCCACGCCCCTTGGTCTCTGTCTCCTGGTCATTCCCTTAACTTTCTCCAGATCTTTCTCTGGGCTTCTGTCTCTCCACGGAGTCGACTCTCTCCCCCATCTCTCTTTAAGCAGCAGCTGTGCACGGAGCTGGGAACGGAGGCTTTGCAGGCACGCATTGAGCACCACCTGTGTGCAGGGCCCTGGGCAGCAAAGGCTCAAACTTGACCTTTCCCTCCAGACAGGTAAGTGACCCCCAGGGCACCAAGACAGATGCCCAACATGGGTGGCACTAGGGGATACAGACATCTTGACGGTGGGGGCAGGCAGGTTCCTGGGATGGTGGAGGAACCCCAGGCATGGGGCTAAGCAGCTCTCTTCCTTGGTGACACAAGGGGTGGCTGAAGGTTTCCGAGCTCTGCGGGACTAGGGGTGTGCTGGCATAGCATGGGTTAGAAAAGACCAGACCAGAGGCAGAGGCAAGGCCATGAGGGAACCAGGACGGTTGGCCAAGCGGAGGCCAGCAGTTGGCCAGAGGGCCTGTGTGCCCCCAGGTAATGTGAAAGCCCCAGGCACTGCAGGCGGGTGGGGTGGGGACAGGTGGCCAGGCAGAGAAAGCTCAGGCCAGGGAATGGCCACAGGCTGGGCACCAGGTCCTGGTCACCAGGTCACCTCCCGGAGGCCTTCCCCCCACACCTGTGGAGAGAACAACAGTGAGAGAGACTGGAAATGAGTCTCTAACAGGCTGTTCTCCAGAGAGCCCTGTCCCTAAGCTCCCTAAGCAGCAGCGCCTGGGGCAGGAATGTGTCATCTAACCTCTGCCCTTTGCTCAGGCCCCCTCCTCAGCCGGGAAGGTCTCCCCTCTGCCTGTTTCCAGGTGGGCTTCCGCTCAGGCTGTGCCCTTCTCCCTCTAGGATACCTCTGGGGCACTGTGCCCCTGGGTGACTTAGGGCCAGTCTTAGGCAGAAAACACATTCTGCTTTGCATCAGAGAAACTCAAGAGGCCCTTAATCCTGCCATCTTCTCCCTCAGGGCTTCCTCCCTGATGAGCTCATTTGACCTCTCTACAACCCCAACAGCGAACAGCAGTTTAGAGGAGGGAAACAGCCTCCCCATTGTACAGACAGGGTAGCTCAGGCCAGAGAAGTGACAGCAACTGATCGGGATCCCGCAGGGACTCAGGGAAGGAGGCTTTGGAACCCAGCCTGTCTTCCACTAGATCAGGGGTCAGCAGATCTAATCCGCCACCTGTTTTTGTAAATAAAGTTTTATTGGAACACCGCCACACTCCTTCATTTGCACATCGTCCTTCGCAGCTGTCACCACCATGCAGCAGCAAAGTACAGATGCTCCTCGACTTTCCTTGGGGTTATTTCCCAATAAACCCATAAATTGAAAATGCATTTCCTAAGTTGAAGATGCATTTTATACACCTAACCTATTGGACATGACAGCTTGCCCCAGCCTGCCTTAAATGTGCTCAGAACACTCACCTTAGCCTACAGTTGGGCAAAATCCTCTAATGTAAAGCCTATTTTATTCTGAAGCATTGAAAATCTCATGTAATTTATTGAATATGGTATTGAATGTGAAAAACAGAATGGTTGTGTGAAACATACTAAAACTCATGGAATTATACACTTAAGATGGGCGCACTTAAGGGGGTGTAAATTAGATCTCAATAAAGCTGTTCCCAGCTGGGCCTGGTGGCTCACACCTGTAATCCTAGCACTCTGGGAGGCAGAGGCAGGAGGATCTCTTGAGGTCAGGAGTTCGAGACCAGCCTGAGCAAGAGCAACACCCCATCTCTACTAAAAATAGAAAAAAATTAGCTGGGTATGGTTTTGTGAATCTGTAGTCCCAGCTACTTGGGAGGCTGAGGTAAGAGAATCACTTAAGCCCAGGAGTTTCTAGCACTCTGGGAGGCCGAGGTGGGAGGATTGCTTAAGGTCAGGAGTTTGAGACCAGCCCAAGCGAGAGTGAGACCCCTGTCTTTACTAAAAATAGAAAGAAATTAATTGGCCAACTAAAAAGATATAGAAAAAATTAGCCGGGCATGGTGGCACATGCCTGTAGTCCCAACTACTTGGGAGGCTGAGGCAGGAGGATCACTTGAGCCCAGGAGTCTGAGGTTGCTGTGAGCTAGGCTGATGCCATAGCACTCACTCTAGCCTGGGCAACAAAGTGAGACTCTGTCTCAAAAAAAAAAAAAAAAAGCCCAGGAGTTTGAGGTTGCTGTGAGCTACAATGAGGCCACAGCACTCTAGCCTTGAGGACAGAATGAGACTCTGTCTCAAATAAATAAATAAAGCTATTCCCTAAATCCCAACCCTCCTCCCATCTATTTCCCTTCACCCTCCTGTTCCTCAGTTGGCCTTCCTGTAAGACAGGGCTAATGTCTCTGCCTTGCCCGTCTTGCAAGGTTGTGTGGGGACGGAAAAGAGGAGGATGAGTGAGGAGGGCTGCGCAAACTGTCGAGGGCTGTTCACCCATGAAATTCTCCAGCCTTCCCCTCCCCCAGAGATACACAATTAGGTGCACACTGCAAAGGTGTCAGGGGTCTCTCTGGCCAGAGGTGACATCTGAAGCAATCAGGATCCTGTTTGGCTTTGCCACATCCGACCTGCCGCCGGCCGGGGCGGAGAGCCACGCGCAGCGGATGCAGCGGCCCCGAACTCTCTCCCGAGTAGTCCCCAGAGGTGGCTGCTGCCTTTCAGTTTCTGCGCTTGTTTATTTTCAAAGGGACGGTGCCAGACCGCGAGGCTACCCCTGCCCTTTCATGGTTTGTTTTACGCAGGAGATTTCAGGAAGAGAGAGAAGAGGTAAGAAAGCAGAAACAAAGTCTTCTGCCAGCAAAGAACTGCAGCAGGCCCCAGCCGGTGGGTGTGGGGGCGGTCTGGGACAGGTGACTCCATTGCAGAGTGGGCCAAGGGTCCCCTTACTCACCCCTAGCCCCAGGAGCCCTGGGGTACCAGTAGTGCCAGTAATAATTGCAAGTATTCGACAAATGATGCCGGAATAATTGGATGTCTGTGTGCAAAAGGAATGAACCCACACCTTGCACCTTATCACAACATTCACTCAAAATCATAAGCCAAATTATAACACATAAAACTAGAGGAAAACACAGGAGAAAATCTTCGTGACTTGGGATTAGGCAAAGTTTTTAGATGTGACATCAAAGCACTGACTAAAAGAAAAAAATGATAAATTGGACGTCATCAAAATTGAATACCTCTGCTCTGCTAAAGTCACGCTTCAGAAAGGAAGATAAGCCACAGACTGGCAGACAATCTTTGCAAAACATCTATCTGATAAAGGACTTGTAGCCAGAATATATAAGGAACTCTCAAAGCTCAATAAGAAGAAAGCACAAGGCCGGGCGCGGTGGCTCACGCCTGTAATCCTAGCTCTCTGGGAGGCCGAGGCGGGCAGATTGCTCAAGGTCAGGAGTTCGAAACCAGCCTGAGCGAGACCCGTCTCTCTACTAAAAATAGAAAGAAATTAATTGGCCAACTAATATATATAGAAAAAACTAGCCGGGCATGGTGGCGCATGCCTGTAGTCTCAGCTACTGAAGAGGCTGAGGCAGCAGGATTGCTTGAGCCCAGGAGTTTGAGGTTGCTGTGAGCTAGGCTAATGCCAGGGCACTCACTCTAGCCTGGGCAACAAAGCGAGACTTTGTCTCAAAAAAAAAAAAAGAAGAAAGAAGAAGAAAGCACAGCTGGGCTTGGGTGGTGCAAACCTGTAGTCCTAGCTACTCGGGAGGCAGAGGCAGGAGGATTGTTTGAGCCCAGGAGATCAAGGCTGCCATGAGTTATGATCACGCCACTCCACTCCAGCCTGGGCAACAGAATAAGATCCTGTCTCTGAAAATAATAAGAAAACAAACAGTTCTCACCAAAAAAGAAAAAAATGTAGCAAATATTTGCATAGACACTTCATCAAAGGAAATGTATGAAAGGCAAATTAACGCATAAAGGAAGTTGAGCGTCATTAGTCAGTAGGAAAACCCAAATTAAAGCCACAATGAGATACCACTAAGGGGGAATGGCTAAGAAGACTGACCATGCCAAATGCCTGCCAGTGAGGATGCAGAGTAACTAGAACCTCACACTGCTGGTGAGAACGTAAAGAGGTGCAGCCATCTGGAACAGAGTTTGGCAGATTCTTAGAAAGTTAAACATAAACTTACCATCC